CTGCTTTCATGCACTTTTTACGTAAGAAAAAGGAAAAAGAAAAAAAAATCTTTGCCACAAACTGAGCCGCGGAACCTCCCGCCCTGCTCCCTTTCCCCTGCCCTCTCCTAGCCTCTTTTCTCCCCCTTCCTCCTTTTCTGCAGTCAGGCTGTAGCAGAGACAAGGGCCGTGGCTGAGAGAATGGGGCCTTAGGAGTCCCAGGGGGCAGCAGGAAAGAGAAGGAGGTGATGGCTGCCCCTGGAGGCACGGCCTCTTCTTGCTCTGGGATGGGAAGGCAGTGTACCTGGGGCTGGGTCCCCTGGGACAGGTGCCCCTGGCAGGGCATTAACCCCGGGCCCAGGTGATGGGGTGACAAACGGACCCTGAGCAGGGGGGACAGCAGAGCCGGGATATTGAGTAACTTCTGAGTCCCCCAGGGTCCTTCCTGCTTAAAGCCTGGAGTCACCAGGGCCCATAGTGAGCGTGAGTGTGTGTGTGTGTGTGTGTGTGTGTGTGTGTGTGTGTGTGTGTGAGAGAGAGAGACACACACACACACACAGGGTGGGGGTAGGGGGCGGCTGCCTGTTCTGCTCCACCTCCCCCCAACCGCCAGCCCAGCAGCCTTTAGGGAGGGCTAATCTCAGGGTTACAATGGGGAGGGTGGCTAGGTGGGCAGCTGTTCTTGGCCTGTCGTGGCTGCTCTCCCACTGACTTGGGGCCCTCGTTGCGCTGGCTGGACTCCCCCATTCCCCCTCTTCTGGGCTGTTTCACCCATCCTTTCTCCCTCCTGGGCCAGTAGGTGTCTGGGAACATTATCTCCCTACTTCCTCTGCCCCCACCCTAAAGCTTCTGGCTGGAAACAAGTCTCTCTCTGCTCCTCTCCAGTCCCCTCTGTTCTGGCCTTCGGCCGCCCCCCCAAATCTGATCTCAGCCCATTGGAGGGGATAGAACAGCCCCCATCCATGCTGTGCGACCCTAAGGAAGGCCCTTCCTCTCTCTCTCTCTCTCTCAAGCCCGCAGTTTCCTCATCTCTAAAATAGTGGATTGGACTCGGTCTCCAAAGCTAGCTCCGTCTCCTCTCTAGCTGTGGTGTTTGAGTCAACCCTCCTTCGGGGTCAGGGGCCTCGGTGGGCCCTGAGAGAGGTACCCTCTAATCATAGGAGGAAAGAGGCTTTGTGGTACCTTCCAAGGAGGCTTCCAGACTCTGGCCCCTGCCTCCCTCCCTTGCGGTCTCTCCTTGCCAGGGCTGTGTTGAGGTGGCATCAGGGGGTGCCAGGGCCGGTCTTCCAGCGCCTGGCCTCCTCCAGCCCTTTCCTCCATTTCTTGTTCTCTGTGTACCCAGTACACAGTGGGGTCTCTGCCTGCTGAGGACACAAAAAGCCAGAGCCTGGGAGTGTCCCTGTGTTCTGGGCAGCGGGGGAGCTGTCTGGGCTTGTGACCCTCCCCAGGGCGGTGCCTGGTTAGTTGGGAGAGAGGGGAGGGGGTGGCAGAAGAGGCCTTGGCCTTTAGGGGCCTTCGCTGGTCCCCGTCCCTTCTGTTCCTCCCCGGGTTCCTTCCCCCTCCCCCCTCCTTGGGCTCCCACTCCCTCTGTCCTTCTGCTCACTCCTCTTCCAGCTCTCTCCCACCTTTCCTTTAGCTGACTTCATTTCTTCCCTTCCTCCTTGCCTCCATCTCTCCCCTTGTAACTGTCCCCGTCCTCCTCTTCTTTCACCCCTACCCCTGACTTTCTTGCTCCCAGATAAGAAGATAAGCTATCATGGTTGTATTTGCAATCCACGGATTAGAGAATTAAGTATTTATTATTATTATTATTAATTATTATTATTATTAATTATGATGTAAATTTGCCGCCTGGTCTTTGTTGACTTGCGTTTCTTGGTGGCTTGGCATGAAGTCCATGCTGGTCACCTTCCCATTCTTGTCCCCCTTTGTCCCCCCAGTTATCTGGGAGATGATTGAGTGAGGCTGTCCTCTGCCTGAGGTCACAGATGAGGGTGCGGCAGGCAGGGGATGAGGGGGCTCCTTTCCTCCCTCTCCCCTCCCGCCCATCTCTAGAGTTACTGACTTGTGACCAGGGTCCTCAGGATCCTCTCTTGGGCTCATGCTTTGAGATCCCAAGCTGTCCCTTCTTCCCAGTCTCAGGAGGCCACCAAGCCTGGGGACTGAGCTGGCAGGGACAGCTGGGACTCAGGGATGCATGGGGGATCCTGGAGCAGAGGAAAATGAGAAATACAGCCTCCTGACTCGTCCTGGCTCCTTGGCTCCCATGGGATCCAGGGGTCAGAGGCAGTACCCCCCATGAGACCAGTGATGGGGAGAGGAGAAGGGGGCTATGGATTGGCTCACTTTGTGCTCAGTTGTTGTGGGGGGGCTCCGGGCTGGGCCCTCCTCCTCCTCAGCCAGGCCACATCAAATCCCCTGCTAGGCCCCCTCTGTGGAGACCCTGCTGCCTGTCCTCTCTCCTCCCCACCATAGCCAGTCCAGCCTGGCCCCTTGCTCTTAGGCCAGGGAGCCTCCCCCTCTGGCCCCTTCCCCCCAGGTCGTGGCAGATTGGGAGGGGCCCGGCTGCCCCCCCCACCTGGTGGAGCTACGTATCGGTGACCGGCAGCGGCCGGCCTCTCCCTCCCTCTTTCTGTTCTTTTCTTTTGTATTTGGAAACAACGTGTTGTAATAAAGACTCCTATAGATGTTTCAACTTGGCTTTTCTCTCTATGAGGGGAGGACAGTGAGGGGGGCAGGGGGGCATGTGGCTCAGAAAGACTGTTGGCACTGAAATCAGCATGACCTGGAGGGGAGACAGAAAGAGCAGTCACAGGCCTTCTCTTTGGGGCTCTTCCAGTCTGAGCGATGGGGGGCAGGGAGAACAGACCCAGGATCTGTCCTTGGGGTGCTCCCAGTCTGAGCAATGGGGGGCAGGGAGAACAGACCCAGGATCTGTCCTTGGGGAAATGACGTCCCAGGGTCAGAGAAACAAGGGGCTCTGAGCCGACTTCCCATTGGCTCTAATGATGTGGTCCTAAGGAACAGATCCCAATATAAATGGGAGACTCAAGTGTGGAACTGTAAGGAACTTGGCCTCCTTCAGGCCCTGTGGGGCCTGGCCCTAGGGCGCACAGGTTAGGGGGCTGTCCAGTTCCCAGTCGCCTCCTCCACGTTCTGGGCATTGCCTGGCCCACCTCAGGAGGCCAGAAGGGGCTGAGGGCAGCAGAAGCTCAGCGCTGCCCCCGGCTGGGTTTGGTCTAGTACTGAGCGGGCAGGGCTCAGACGCTAAGGGGTCCGAGGTCCTGGGCAGGCACACTCACTTTGTGGCCACGGGAAAATTGCTTTTTCCTCTCTGGGCCCCTTGTAGGGGCAGTACAGGTCCGGAATAGTGCTTCTCAACCTGTGGGCCCCTGCGTTATTGGGAAGGGTCCATGCATCCACACCAAACATTGCTGCATTGTGTCTCGTCCACTGGAGGATGCTAACTCTGCATAGGCTCTGCTGTATTGGGATCCGCGATGGACTTTTAAAGGGCCTGCTGCTGGGGAGGGAAGGGGGGAAAGGACTGACCACTGGAGGGTCAGCTGGGCCTCTAGAGTTGGAGGAGCTAAGCATGTGGACTTCACAGGACTGGCAAAGGACTGGCATCTGGAAGGAAGGCAGAGCAGAGGCACAAACCCCGCCGCACAGGTCCACAGCACTGCCCAGGCGGCCAGAGCCTGCTTCAAAGGCACTTGGCTAATATTTAACACAATAAATAAAAACACAATGAAACATAGATATTATTACAAGAGTTGGTCAATATGCAGCCTGCGGGAGAAGGGGGAGAGGAGGGAGCGTGTGCTAGGGGGACAAGACATTTCTGTTGGAGTGTAGAGGTCCCTGAGTGTCCAGCTGAGCAATTTGAGGGAAATGGGGCCCTCTAGGAACCAGTTGACTGTAAGGATGCTCTGAGCTATGGCTGGGGGCCTCACTGAGCTGCCCCTCCAGACTTCCACGGCTCCCCATCCCTACAGGGTGGGTCTCCAGTGTCCACTCTGGGGGCGCCTGAGACTGGCAGCTCATCACATCCCTTCCCCTGCCTTTGCGCTCATCCGAGTTGCAGTTGGTGGCCCATTGTGGGAAGACCCCCCTACCCTGCCCTGCCCATCACACTCCTGGCTGGACCCAAAGGCCATTCTCCCTCCAGTAAGGAGGGGCCTCCTCCTTGGACACCTACTCTCATGGAAAGAGTTCTGGATGGAGAGAACCTGCTCCCCAGGTGAGGTTGACCTGTTTCCCCACCTGTAAAGGAGAAGGAAGGAGCTGCTGCTCTGGCTTTCCTGTCCTGAGAAGGGGCCACCTCCACCCCCTTGCTTCACAGGCAGTCAGGGAGGCAAGAAGCATTTATGAAGCACCTACTATGTGCCAGGCACTGTGATTAGCACTGACCGTACAAAGAGACAGAAAAGTCTGCCCTCAAGAGGCTCATCGTCTAGTTGGGGAGACAAGCTGTATATACAGTAAATAGGAAACGATTAAGAAAGCTCGCTGTAGGAGGGGTTTTAGTGGGCCTTACAGAAAGCCAGGGAGGTCAGTGCAGTGGTTGGTGCTGAGGCGGGACAGAGCGGTTCAGGCCTGGGGACGGCCAGGGAGCGAGGGTCTTGGTCAGGGACCAATCGGGAGGCCAGAGGGGCCTGCTTGGGAAGGGCTCTGCCTGCCAGACATTTGGGGTTTGCTCCCTGAGGTAATAGGGAGCCTGGGAATGTATTGAGGGCTGACGTGGTCAGACTTGGTTTTAGCAAGACCACTTCAGCAGCTGAATGGAGGACAGACTGGAGTGGGGAGAAACTGAGGCAGGCAGTGGCCTGGCCACCTCCCCCCCACCAGCAGCTATTACAGTGGTCCAAGCATCAGTGACCAGGGCCTGTGGTGGGGGTGAGGGGGGGCCCGTCAGAGGAGACACAGACACGTGGGGAGTCCTGGGCTCCAGAGCTGGTGTGGGCAGAGTCAAGGGCGCTGTCCCCACGTGACAAGGAGCTTGGGAGTGTCCTCAGCAGTGGTGGCTAGGAGGAGGAGAGTGGGTCTGGAGCGGGAAGATCATGCTGGACACTCCCGTTTGAGATGTCCATAGGACGTGGGAGCTAGGAGCCTGGAGGTCAGGAGAGATGTCAGGGCCAGACACAGTAGGAAGCTGATCATTGAATTCACTCCCCAAGTGAAGTTGTGAGGAGGAGGAAAAGCAGAGGGCCCAGCACAGAGCCTGAGGGACACCTAAGGTTGGATGTGATCTAGAGGAGGAGCCAGCCAAGGACACAGAGCAGGAGTGGCCAGAGAGGGAGGAGGAAAACCAGGAGAGAAGAGGGGATCCTGAACAGGAGTGCCCACAAGGCCCAGGCTGCGGGTATCAAGGGCAATGAGGGCTGAGAAGAGGCCCCTTGATGTGGTCACTAGGAGCTCATGGGTCATTTCAGAGAACAGCTTCGGCAGAATGATGGGGCCAGAGGCCCGAGGGAAGAGCTGAAGGAAGTGCAGATGCCTTCTCATGGAGGTGAGCTGCGTAAAGCTGAGGTGAAAGACCAGGGGGCCGTGCCCAGGGAAAAGGGGAGTCAGGGGCTGCCCCAGAAACCATGGTCTGGACCCTGGGCTGGGCTGGGCTGAGTTGGGGTGGGGTGGACTGGACTCTGGGCTGGGCTGGGGTGGGCTGGACCCTGGGCTGGGCTGGACCCTGGGCTGGACTGGACCCTGGGCTGGGCTGGACCAGGCCAGCTTGGGGAGGGGGGTGGTGCTTCAGCTCAGGCCAGCTCTATTTAATCAGAGAACATCTATTTATAGCCTTGGCAGCGCCTCAGAGTCAGGAAGGCCACTCCTCCTTTCTGGCAGCCTGGGTCACGTCCACAGGCATACTCATGGATCACAAGGGCACGTGTAGACTAACAGGCAAATGTTACACCATCAAGAAGCATTTGTGAATCACCTACTGTGCGCTGTGTGCTGGGGACACAGAGACGGGCAGGAAGGTGCCTGTCCTCCAGAAGCTTGCCCTTTCAGGAGGGTCACGGGGACCCCCCCCCCACAGGTCCAAGGGCATTTCACTGGGCTGGCGGTGGAGAGCGTGAGCAGGAGAGGCTTGTGGGGGGGTGAAGAAAAAAAGGCCCTCCAGCTGTGCTTCTGACTGCTCCGGCACCTCCTCCAAGGTCTCTTGGTGGTGGGTTTTCCGCGTATGTGAAGGGTTCTCTTGGGGGAAGGGCTGTGCTTCCAGGTCCGCTAGGACAGAGCTAAGAGTAGTGGGCAGTGGTCCTCGGGCGGCAGATCTGGGCTCAACATGAGAAGGAAGGCTCTAGCTGATCACCGGTGCCCCCTGGGCCTGAGGTGGGGACATCGAGGTCCCTGGCCACGACTGACGGTGCCCTCCCAGACCAAGCAGAACCAGCCCTGTGGCCTGAGCTCAGCTACGAGTTCTCGGGAGACAGCAGAGAAGCCAGCCCAGAGACAGATGCCCAGGTGCACAGCTGCAGCTGGCCCCACGTTCAGCAATAGCATCATTTATTAGTGGGAGGGAGAGTCCAGTGGCATTCCCCTCCGGGCACCCTTAGGGACTCACTAGCTCAGAGTGAGACCCTTTAGGCTGGTACCTCCTGATGACAGGCTGAGGCTGCCTGGCTAAAGTGCCTCCCCCCACTCCCTGGCCCTGGAGCCATCTCCTCAGGCCTGTCCTGGGTGGAGGAGGTGGGCTGTAGGATCAGGCTGAAGCCATGAGCACAGGGCACCCGAAGGGCAGGAAATCCCAGGGCTAGCAGTTACCTTGGAGGTCAGCCAGGCCAGAGCCACCATCTTACCGATGAGGAAACTGAGAGTAAGATCAGAGAATGGCGGGCTTGTCCAGTGTCCCTAAGCGAAGGGGGGTGGGATGGGAAGGGGAGGGGGGAGATTCAAGCCTAGATTTGATTTCACAAACCTGAGTCCATATAGGACACCATTCTGTCTTCTCAGGCCCACAGACCTCCCGAGATCGTAGGACTTAGAGATGGGGAGAGAGATGGCATCCGGTCCAACCTGTTCATTTGAATATTGAGGAAACTGACGCCCAGGAGGAAAGGAGGTTTGCCCAAAGAGGCCGGGCATGGAGGTTCCTGAGGCTGTTCCCACCCAGGGTGTGGCCTGCAGGGGTATCCTGTGAACTAACTCAGCTCTGCCTGCCCTGCTCTGGCCCTTGCCCAGACTAGCCCCATCATCTAGTCCTCCTGCAACTCTACTGTCTCTGACTCCTCCCCAGGAATATTCTTGACCAGGAGGATCAGCTGGGCTGCTGGCCCTATGGCCTGGCCAGGGCCCTTTGTACAAACCTGGGGGCATCCCTCTGACCCAACTAACATCTGTGCCCAGCCAACCCCCCCCAGCTGCTGACAGGCTCCTCCCCTGCTCCTGCCCACCACGTGCCCAACTCACTGGTGATCAAGGGGGGTGAAACCCTGTGACAAATGGAAGGGTCCTGCTGGAAATCATCTGACCCGGGCACATTCAGGTGTGAAGCCTCACTGTCAGAAGAAGGCTGAAGGGCCCAGAAGGATTTGGGAGATTGGGGGTGGGGTGGGAGGAAGGCAAAGACCCTCCCCCCATCTTCCTCCCCTTCTGAGCATCTGGCTGGCTGCCTGTGGCAGCTATCCAGAGAGAGTTCCGGGACCATGTCCTGTTCCCCAGGGTTCCTTCCTCCTCCAACGGCCAAACTTGGTAAGACTTCATCTCCAGAGGCCTCTAGCCTTCAGGTGCACAGCCCTGCCTTCCCTCCAAGCTCAACAGCAAGGCCTTTCTTGGGGACTCTGGGACTTGAACCCTGGTGAGGGACCCTTAGGTGGAGGGAGACTGGGCGACCTGAGCAGACAGTCACACGGATGGCAATTCAGAGCTAGAAGGCCTTGTCTGACTCCCCTAGCTTACAGATGGGGAAACTGAGGCTCAGCTAGTGAGAAGCCTGGCCCCTGGTTGGTGCTGAGCACATGCACGTAACAGTGTGTCAGGCTGGATCGCCTCACCCAGGCTCCCACAGAGAGAGAATGAGCAGGCTGAGCTTTTGAGCGGTGTCCTTCTTCTCCACTCCCCAGGCTCATCCTAAGCCCTTCACTTTGCAAATCAGAACAATGAAGGTTATGGGTTGGTCAGTGAAGTGTCTCACTTCTTTCAAGTCCCAACTTAGCAACTCCTTCCTTCCAAAAGCGTTCCCTGGCAGCCCAGCAAAGTGGGAATAGCGGCGGATTCAGACAGATGGATGGATGAACAGATGGATGGACATACATATGGAAGAACAGACAGATGGACAGGCAGACGGATAGACAGACACACAGACAGATGGATAGACCATGGACACACACAGAGGGAGAGACAGATGGACAGATGGATGGACAGACAGATGGATGGATGGACAGACAGATGGATGGACAGACATATGGAAGGACAGACAGATGGACAGGCAGACGGATGGACAGACACACAGACAGATGGATAGACCATGGACACACACAGAGGGATAGACAGATGGACAGATGGATGGACAGACAGATGGATGGATGGACAGACATATGGAAGGACAGACAGATGGACAGGTGGATGGATGGACAGACACACAGACAGATGGATAGACTGTGGACACACACAGAGGGATAGACAGATGGACAGATGGATGGACAGACAGACGGATGGACACACAGACAGACAGACAGACACAAACAAGTGTATGTAGGAGAGCTAAACAGCAAGACCCAGAGAGGTCCAGACTCTCTGGAAGCCCCCAAGCTGACAGGTGCTGGATACCAGGGTCAAATCCCAGCTCTGCCGCTTGCTAGCTATGTGACCTTGGGCAAGTCTCTCCCCCTTGCTGGGCTTCAGTTTCCCTAGTTGTAAAGTCTGGTAATGGAGCCTCCTTCCTCCTTCCTCTGAGCTCAGCCCCTTGCGCACAGTAGGGATCTCTGCTCTAGTCTCTAATGATGAGGCAGCCCTTCTCCTTGCTGCGGCAAACAGCCCCTCTGCACATAGCCTTGATGCCATCCAGCCCACCTTCTCCAGCAGATCGCCCATTCCATCATGCCCCCTCCCTCTCTTCTGTCCTCAAACATGCCCACATCCCCCACATCCTTCTAAAGACCCTTATCAATCCTGAGGGCCCGGCAGCCATCCACTGACATCTCTTTAATAAACGTGTGTGGTGGGGTCCCATTCACATCCCCTCTAAAAGACCTCAAACTTAGCAACCCAGAGAGGAGCAGGGTTTTAGAGACCTCACACATGCATGCACACACATGCGCACATACATACATGCGCACACCCATGCATGCACATGCGCGTGCATGCACACATACATGCACATGCACACACACGCACACATATAGAGCTCTGAGTTCTTGGAGGTGGGAGCTGCCTCCTGGGTCCCCATGGGGAGGCTGGGAACCTCAGGGAAAGCCATGTGAGAGGTCCGAGAGGGCACTCGCCTAGTCTCAGTGCCAGAGGCTGGCATCCTGGGGCTTAGGCTAGAAGTCCTTCCTCCCTCAGTGGGTGGGGCATCCTCTGCTGAAGAGGATGATCTCATGCCAGGAAGAATGGAAACCCACGCCAAGCTGAGGCCTCAGCAGCATGCCAGGCTGCCTCCGCCCTAGCCTTGTGCCTTTCATCTTCAAAGCCCAGCCCCCCAGGGCACAGGGATGGGACGGAGAGATTCCCAAGACAGGGGGATGCTTAAGGTCCCCCTAAGCCAAGGAGTCTCCAGGCCTGTCCTCTCTCCCTGAGCTGGGGCTCTGGGGGCCTGGAGCTGGAAGCTCTTTTTCCTCTGGGCCTGCATCTCCTTCTGTGTGGCCCCGTACCTCCTCTGCTCTTTGCCCATTCAGCTATCCCCAGCTAGGCCAGGACGGGGGGAGAGGGGATATATGCTCACTGGACTTCTATTTGATGAGGGAGTTTGGGGCAGTGAGGCACTGGGTCTGGGTCAGAGCAGCGCCCGTTCCATTCAGACAATCCTTGCTCGGGACTTCCTCAGTTTCTTCGTTTGCAATTTGGACTAAATAGTCTCCTTCCACCTCCAGCCCTGTGTGACCGAGACACCGGTGGGTGGGAGAGGTAGGAGGCCAGGCTTACTTGTGAGCAGCTGACAGGTGTGGTGCTCAGGCCTGGACATGGAGGGATGCCATGGGGTGCCCTTAACAGATGTGGGAAGTCTCAGGCCAGAGCGCCTGAGACTCGCTGCTTCATTTTACAGAGTGGGAAAGTGAGGAAGTCCAAAGAGGGAAGGGGCTTGCCAAGGCCACGCAGCTAGGGAGCTGAAGTGTGAGCGTAAGGGCTGATTCCCCACCCAAGCTGGGCCAGGGCCAGAGAGGAAAGGACAGCTCCACAGTGCCACCTGCTGGTAGCCCTGTGGCAGTGCCCGCTCCCAGGGGGCCTGCTGTGGGTCCCAGGGTGCCTTCATTCACAGCCACGTCCTGGCTCTGGAGGGAGAAGGAGATTAAACTTCTCGTCTGAGTCTTCAGTGCCGAGGCAGCCGTCAGCAGGCGGCTGGGGAAGAACCTTCTCGGGGGCCCTGAGCATCTGGACCCAGCTGTGTGGAACTATAGATGTGAAGAAGCCTTCTAGGCTTGGGTCTGAGCACCCCCGGAAAAACCCAGGAAGGTCAGTGCCTAGAACCTGCTCACTGGACAGATTAGGGAAACTGAGGCCTGCAGAAGGTCACGCTCCCTCCTTCTTCTCCAACACAAGTGAATCAGTGATGCAGCCCGCAGACCTTTAGTCTGCACTCATTCCCCTTCTGCTCCCAAGCTGGCATCCACACGTCTCTGCCCGCACAGGCAGGCGAATGAGAAGCCCAGAAGGCTTCTGCACATCTGCAGTTCCACACAGCTGGGTCCCGATGCTCAGGGCCCCCGAGCCGAGCTGGGCATTGCAGGCTCCTCCAGCCCCAGTGGACAAGAATCTCTCCAAGTGGATCTGGGAGCCCTGCTGAGTAGCTCCGGGCAGCTCTGGGCAGCTGCCTCGGCACTGAAAACCCGCTCTTCCCCCTCCAGGGCAGCCACTCTGACTCCCCAGGCCCACAGCTCACTGCTTTGCGTACCACTTCGTCCCCATCTGCTCTGGGTTGGGAGAAATCCCCAGGCTGTTCCCTCTCCCACATCCTCCCCCACCTCCCCAGGCTTCCCCCCTCCCCCCCATGGTCTCCCGCCTCCCTAAGGTTCCCCCATTTCCTTCCCATCCCCCACCCCTCCACTCCTCCTCAAACTCTCCCCTCACCCCTTCCCAGGGTCCCTCCATCCCATTCCCATCCCCACCCCTCCCCCACCCCCTCCTCACCCCTAGGGTCCCCCCATCCCATCCCCATCCCCCCCATCCCTGCCTCTGTGGCTGTTTCCTAATCAGCACATGGGACCTGGGCTCTTTGTGGGTTGTGGGAGGAAAGGGGAGCCCGGGCAGGCTGGCTGACTCACTCAGCCCAGGGCTGGCAGGGAGATCAGAACCTCAGCCTCTGTCTGGGCTATGAGAGATGCCAGGTACAGCCTGGCTCTGAGGCTCAGAAAGAGGATGGGCCCTGCTTGACTTGCCCTCCTAGGGAAAGTGAGGAGCATAAAGTGAGGAGCCTGCTTCTGGAAGATGGAAGACTGCCGGGCGGAGGGGCTAACCCTGGCCCCAGTGCTTTCTAGCTCTATGACCCCCTCCCCTTTCTGAGACTCACTTTCTTCATCTGTCCAGTGGGGTAATAAGCCTTGTACTCTCTGCCTCACAGGGGTGCTGGGAGTTGCTGCATCAAAACCAGTCCTTTGATGTGCTGCTTTCCCTCAGCCGGGCTGGGTAGGGTAACCTAGGGGGAGAGAGAGGTCCTGCCCCGGGGGGTGGCCGATGGGCAGAGGAAAGACACCGGGGCCTGCCTGGGAGGGGGCCATGAGCAGGGTAGTCCCTTAGGCTGTGGGCAAGGCCCGGAACCCACAGGCCCATGTTCATCCGTGTCCTCCCCAGACCTTAGCCAGACATTCCAGCAATTAAGCTGTAGGAGGCTGTTTGCCCACTGGGCCATGTGTGAGGCCAGTCCAGTTCTTGGTATCTGTGAGAGTCGGCCCAACTTGGGCCCCCCAAACCTGGCCCCCAGGGAGGTCCTGGGGCCAGGCCACTTCCCCAGGCAGGTTGGCAGGGGAGCCCAGGTCTAAAGTGGCTTGGACAGACCGCCTAGGCCTAAAGTGTAGGAGGACGTCTTCCTCCTAGCTCTCAGGCTAGCCCAAGTACAAAGCTGCCATTCTTCCCTTCCCAGCCTTGGCACAGGAGGACGGGGGATAGGGCATTCCAGTGAGAGCCCCTGCGGAGCACCTATAGGGTCTTACTGCTCCCTCCTCAGCCACGTATGCCCAGAAGGCACTCCCAGCCTGCCTCTCTGGCCATCCAGTTTGGTGCAAGGACTGCCGAGGGCCTAGCCGATGCCTCTGTGGTCAGGGAAGGTCACACTCACAACCAACGCCTGCCTCCTGGGCAAGGGTGGACAGAGGGCAAACTGCAGGGGCTCAGGCCCTTGTTTCCTCCCCAGGCTAAGGGCCCAGAGGACAGGGCCCCTATTCCTGTCCCTGAGGCTGACTTTGTTCCCTTCCTCCCTTGGCTTTCTCTTACCCTGTTTCTCATTCTGCTCCCTCCTGAGCTCTTTGGGTCCTTCCCAGCTGCATTCCACACTCCTATTCCCTATTCTCCCCTGCCCCCATCACCACCACCCACAGCCTCCTAGACCTAGCAGGTGCAATTCCCAGCGACAGAGTACGCCTCCCCGGCCTAGCACCCCAACCATAGGGATGGGATTTGGGCTTCTTTCGTGGCCAGTTCTCAGCACTTGTCTGCCCTTTTGGGCCAGGACGATTCCTGTGAGGAAGAAAAAAGTGAGCTACCTGAGGAGGTCATGGTGGCTGCACAGAGAGCTCATTGACCGAGGACTGGTGACTGGCCAGCATGGCACTTCCCTGAAAGAATGGTGCCCGGGCTTCTAAAGCTAAGGAAAGTAGAATGTTAAGAACTCCCAATACTCTGGGGACAAGAGGAAAAACCAAAAAGGGACTGGAGCCCAGCCCAGGCCCAGGACGGTCAGCTACTCAACTCCTGCCTCGCTTAGGCTTTTCCTGTTCGTGAGCCTGGCCGAAAATGACCCACATCAGATCCAAGGGGCTCTCGACCAGCTGGGCCACAGTGGAGGATGAGGTCAGCATCTCTGCCACAGCAATTCACAGAGCCTGTTTACCAGGGCTGGGACAGGGCTGGGGGTCTGTTCTGGTGGAAGGAGAGCTCATGCTAATGCCAGGCACCGTCAAGAATT